CCACAGCGTATAGCTACACTAGCCTGGCTAACGCCAAACCCAATTCTCGTTGAGACTTGTGTCTGGGAACCACATACACAATTTCTCGTATTTGAGGCGTGGTTTACGAATGCCCGGCGCCGTTTATTGGGTGCTAAGAATGTCTATCAAATGCGCCTGTACGTAGCTCATAGCCAATTGTTTCCATTAGAGTACAGTTTAGCATAGAAGTTGAAGTTGTTATTATTTGCATTGGAAATTGGTTGCGCTTGTACTTCACAAGTAAAAAAAAAATTAAAATTTAATTTAATGACTAAAGTCAACAACTTTAATCGGGTACGTGTGCACAGCTGAAAGTTATGCTACTAAAGCGGTAGCTGTATATTGATATTGAAAAGCAACACAACTTAGTGGCACTGTGACAACCACAGTAGGTAGTCTACAGGCATAATGATAATATGATATTAATAAATATCACTTACCATTTATAAGTTAAAGGACTTCGTCGACGACGCCTACCAGGTACTATACAACTCCGTGGCTAACATGTCTTGCGACTTTGCGCTCATCCAGGCCTCGGGACTGCCGAACAGAAGTTGGTATCGACAATTCTTTATCGCATTTTCTTTCACGGGACACAGCTGAGCGGCAGATATTAGGGCGATGTAGGGTTTTTTTTTTTTTTTTTTTTTTTTTTTTTAATGTTACTAGCACACTTGTTTCAGAATTTTCAGAGAACATTCAATGTTCCCTTAACAATCGCATGAACAAGAAAAACGTTTAAAAGACTGGACACCTCTAAAACTTGATGGGAACGTTAACCTCTAAAACTTGATGGGAACGTTAGCAAAACATTTTAGGACATACTGTATTGTTGTTAGCTGCATTGTGCCTGCTCTCAATTGCCCATCAAAATGGATTGTGTCCTAGCTGTTTCCTAACTTTTGTCCTATGCTATAGTTCCCCCTCATCCATGATTAAAGTCTCTCGACCTACAAAACTAAAGTACAAAAGAGTGCTGCACAAACTGAACAAACGCTATTGAGATGAACAGGACAAATCACAACTAAAAATGGCACCATCTAGTGGGTCAATCTCAAACAGTCACAATCTTAACTGACAATAGGGGGGAAGCCTAAGAAATGGGGAAAAACTGAATGAAATCAAACCAATCAGATGAGTTAGCAAAATTATGACATAGCTTAAATATTTTCAGTATTCAGATTTGAAATGTGTTCCGAGACTTCAAGAAAATGCTGAGCCAGGATGAATGAATTGGGACATTTTGTCCACTCCTCTTCATGAACCATTAGAAATATGATATCACAAATTGTTGGCATAAGGATTGCTCTTGGATCTAGTTTATGAATACCGATAGATTGTGTAGAATATTGCTGAATACATAATCAGTGCCAGATACTGGCTCACACAAACAGATCTGTGCATGTTCAGGATAACCTCCAATGACATCAGCCTCCCTCGTCTCCATAGAAACAGCAGCAGTCTCAAAACATTCGCTGGCACACTGAAGTAAACTACAGCCATGCAGGACATTGTGGGTTGATGCACTTTATGCTGGGCAGCTTGCCATCAATCATATGTAGGCTTAAGAATTGTTTTTTAAATTGCATGAGATGGTTCATCAGTAACCTTGGGATTCTTTGAACCCTGACAGAGAGGGGTGGGTTAACACTGGGCGTCCCGACAACTGACAGAAGCATCAGACACACGGACCAAATCATGCATGGGTTCATGATAATGGTAAAGACATTCACCGCCAAACACAAGACAAGCGTCACGGTTTAACTTTACGATTAATAAAGTAAATGGCATGGAGAGACCACTAGGAAAAGAAAATGGCTTGTTTGATGGTTTTGGCTCATCACATTTCATAATCCACCCCACCCTGAACAAACTTTAAGGAACAGTTCACCCAAAAATGAGAATCCTTTGCTTTCACCCTCATTTCTATAATTTCCTGAGCTCTGCTGAATTTGGTCTATTTGACTTTCCAATTCTTTGGTGTAACACAAAAGGAGTTTAAAAGTCTCAAAAAGTACATACCGTGTATATGAGTATATGAGTGATGAGTGTAGATGTGCTGGTTAAAGTCCTGTCCACAGATGATAGCTGTAACTATAAAGTTTTAAACCACATGAATAATGAACAATAGAAACATTAAATCCACCCGAATTTAAAGAGTTTGAGCATTTAAAGCAGCAAACAACAACAATGCAGTGTGCTTATAATACACATAATGTTATTGTTGTGAATAGTCCTCAATAATTTTGTGGAAACCTGGATACATGTTTTCAGAGTTCTTTGAAGAATAGTAATTTTAAAAGTCAAAACATTAATGTCAGAAGTCATGGAAATTTATGGTGCTTTTTTTTGTAGACCACAAAAGAAAGAAAGTCGTACAGGTTTGGAATGACTTGACGGTGAGTGAATTACGGCAGATTTTCTATTTTGGGGTGAACTATCCCTTTAAATCCACAAATAACTGCACAGCTCTCTCTCTCTCTCCCTGCTTGGAGTTAAAGGTTCACCTAAAAATGACAATTCATTTACTCACCCTCAGGTTGTTTCAAACCTGTATGACTTACTTCTGTTGAACACAAAAGAAGATGTTTTGAAGAATGTTGGTACCATTGACTTCTACAGTATTTTTTATTCCTACTAAGTCAATGTAAGTTCCTATGTAAGTCAATGGCTACCGTCAACTGTTTGATAACCAACATTCTTCAAAATATCTTCTTTTGTGTTCACTGGAAGAAAGAAACTTGTGGGTGAGTAAGTAATGACAACATTTTAATTTTTGGGTGAACTATCCCTTTAAGATGAGGGGGGAAATACCCTAAATATCACATCCTGACTCTTACCTGGACTCTTGTCAAGGAAAAGGCAGCAATGTGTCTGCAGTATCCATGGTAACACCTGTGGCAGATGGAGAAATGAAGATGGAAATAGTACAATGGAGTAAATTTCACACACACAGAGAACGAGACAGTCAGTGAGTGGATGAACAGATGAGATAAACCATTTCACTGTGACAGGGGCCATGATAACTCAAGTTAATGGACTCTTCGACCTCCTGATGCTGCATGAGCAAAAAAAAAAAAAAAGAAAAAAAATCACAAACAAACCTACTCCTCCACAACCCACAGCCTAGAGATATTAAACTCAATATTGCCTTGAAACCCTTTGCATGTAAACAGATACGATTCTGTACTCATTCTGATACGTTGAGTTAATAATATGAGACAGATACATGATGTCATCACTGTTTTAGGCAACAGCAGGTGGGTAAGAACATAATTATGATTATTTATGACATCAGCAGAAACGTATCATCATTATTTTTTTTTTATGACACGTGAATAATTGCTATCATCTAAGTTAAAACTCTTGAATTCGACTGGAACATCATTAGGCTACCGAATAATATATGAACACTATTTTGTTTCCATATCTGCAATACCTTTTTCAGAGCTGACATTCTCCAGGGGTTCGTAGCATCGCTTGAATGCGGATGTTTGTAAGCACAGGATCAGGTGTGTATCAGCAGTCCATGGCTTTCATAAACACACACGTGTTCAGCTGCAGTCCGTTCGCATCAGCACAATCCCCGCAGACCCTCCGCATCATCCGCCCTCTCCAATAAACCACACACTGCGTTATCACAAATCATTTGTACATCTGATTTTTAAAAACAATGAGCTTAGAAAGAAAGAAGGTGGTCATGGTGGAGACGAGGCATTCAAATAAAGCGTCATTGCCATAAATAACTTGACAACTTTTAAAACGTTTTGTCCACTAGGGGGAGCGAGCGATCGATCGATCGATCGATCGATAGATAGATAGATAGATAGATAGATAGATAGATAGATAGATAGATAGATAGATAGATAGATAGATAGATAGATAGATAGATAGATAGATAGATAGATAGATAGATAGATAGATAGATAGATAGATAGATAGATAGATAGATAGATAGATAGATAGATAGATAGATAGATAGATAGATAGATAGATAGATAGATAGATAGATAGATAGATAGATAGATAGATAGATAGATAGATAGATAGATAGATAGATAGATAGATAGATAGATAGATAGATAGATAGATAGATAGATAGATAGATAGATAGATAGATAGATAGATAGATAGATAGATAGATAGATAGATAGATAGATAGATAGATAGATAGATAGATAGATAGATAGATAGATAGATAGATAGATAGATAGATAGATAGATAGATCATGTTACCATTAACCGACATTAATGTGAATATGTACTAATCAGAAAAAAAGTAACTAATCTGATTATGAGCATTTTTATAACATAATATTCTAATTGCAAGTTAAGTTTTGGATTCCGATTATGTTATTCAGAGTACATGTAATCACTACCGAGGATAGATAGATCACTACCCAGGATAGATAGACAGACAGACAGACAGACAGACAGACAGACAGACAGACAGACAGACAGATAGATAGATAGATAGATAGATAGATAGATAGATAGATAGATAGATAGATAGATAGATAGATAGATAGATAGATAGATAGATAGATAGATAGATAGATAGATAGATGGCTACGTTTTTACAATAAAGGTTAAGATTGAATATATATTAATTTTAATGAAACTTTCTATGTATTTTTATTACTTTTTTTATTTATTAATGTATGATCAATTTTACCATAAAGTGACTTCTCAACAGTTTGGTAGATGCCTATACAAAAAAAAAACAAAAAAAACAGGCTCTATTGATTAAAAAAAAAAAAAAAAAGATTGTTTTGTTATTATTGCCCCAACAACATCAAATCTTCAAAGAAATCATTTTTCCATTGCTTATTTCTTGGCGAGGATGATAAAGGGTAAATGTGTTGCTTTTATTTAACGTTATGTTTGTATGTTTACGAGAACTCAGATAAGAAATCTAACAGTATTCACATGAGCAAAATGTGTCATTTCATAATAAGAAATATCTTTCCATAGAGTAAAAAAAAAAAAGACTTTATTGGATATGGAAAGTTTTGCAAACAATAATGATCATAAGAAGTGTCACAAAGTGATCATGTATAAATGTGATCTATATTAATAATATGGGCAAATGAGTGAATTATTAATGCAAACCGTATTAAAAAAAAAGTTTAAAAACAAACAAGATAACAAATTAATTACAGTTATGCTTGATAAATAAACACATTCAACATTAGCAAAATTAATATATATAAATGTGTGAGAGCAAAAAAACACATGCTTTGAATACTAATCATTTCACTGAAAGAAAACAGCAATGTTAGAAGTTCACTAATAATTGTTCACTTTTTATTCAAATATTTTCCCTTGGAAGAAGTGTCAAAACAGACTTGAATTTTGGAACCCCTGAATGTATTTGCACTATACAAAGTTTTCAAATCGAACCGGTTTTTGAACTCTCTGCACTGGGAGTTGGGGCTTGTTCTATGAGGTCGGGATGCCACTGCCGATGGGAGGAGTGGAGAGGGGCGGCAGGAGGAGACTCTTGAGTTTCAGGGACATGGCTGCGATCTCTGGGTCCTGAGTTTCATACATCTTAACCAGCCGTGCGAATTTGAGAACACCTGAAAGCCAAAATGCAGAGTTTGAAACGACAACTTTGCATTAGCGTTTCGCGTGTTTCACGTCCTCGACCTCACCTTCTCCCTCATTGTTAAAGCCGTATGCTTTGATGACCTCCTGTTGGATCTGAGTGGCTACGGGAAGCACCAGCTGCAGCATCTTGCCCATGTCATTGCAGGCGCTTTCTCTGGCTTCCTCCATGCGGGCTGCGTTCTCGGGCATGGAGAAAGCCTGGATCACCTCACTGAGAACAACTGCAACGGGTGTTCAAGTCGTTAATGACGAAACACTTTCGTTGACGAATTTTCGAAGACATTGACATCGTGTATTCTCGCAGAATTTATTGTAAATATTGTTTTTATTCATGTGCCCTTGTCATTTTTAACTAAAACCGGGAATCATACCTGACAGCAATACGCCTTATTCACTTTGATTTTTAGTGAGAATGAAAGCGAGGCTGTGAGGGATAGACATGCATCTCTTCAATGGGCTGTACTGTTATTTAATGTGTTTTTGGATTGTTCTGCTCATGAAACACTGGAAAAATATCTTTCCAAGAAATTTCAGTTGACAAAAAACTCCCGATCTGTAAGCTGTGGAAAATTGTAAGTAATCTAGGAGCTTTATTCAGCTGTTTACAGCGGATGCCATTGGAAACACGGTAAGTCTATTCCTCACAGCCTCACTTTCATACCTGTCATGGCGCTGCTCTGAATAAGGTCTATAGTAAGTATCGACGCTCCCTGGTTTTTACGGTGTATTGTGGTACTTTATAGGGAGTGAACGTTTCAGTGCACTGGAAGGATTTTTCAATTGAGACAGCCCTTATAATGTCCAACTCCCTGATCAGTGCCCTACTGTGCTAGGGAGCTGATTGAGACGCACCCGGAAACAGTCATCTGTGTCTCATTGTCTAGTGAGCCAGGGTTCTTTGCAGTGACGAATTAGTGTACACGATAAACTGATTAACGACCTAGGGAGCTGAAAACTAGATTAAAATTCCCAGACTTTTATCCAACTACAACATGGATAAAAAATTTTAAAAAACAGGATAGGTTAACTAATTATGATAATAACTAAAAAAAGGACTAAGTCTACATTAAAATGACGAGAAGACACTGATATCAAAATGGACCATTCTTGTATCCTCAAAGAATTTATTACAAATTAATTTATTAATTCATGTGCCTTCAGAATCTTAAAGGAATTCTAGCTTCAAAACAGAAACGGTCGTTTTAAAGCTTGGAAGAGGCAGGACATTGTTTAATATAACTCTTGATTGTGTTCATCTAAAAGAAGAATGTCATGTCAGATACACCTAGGGTGTTTATGACTTGTTGAGGGTAAGTAAATCATGGGCTAATTTTCATTTTTGGGCATGTAACATCTCCCTCACCTCTTGCCTGCTCCACAGTGAGCGAGGGCTGCTGTGCTGGGGCAGAGGCCATGCCGGCTCACTCCACGGGGCAGATTCACCACCGATGACTGCAATGACAACAATTTAAACAATTTTACAATCGCTTCGCTATGACATTATTTAAGCATACTCTAATAATCAATGAAGCTTGACTGTTCATCTTTCTCCAAAATAACACATTTTCAACATCAATGAGAACACTGGCAGCTGTATACCTTACGGTATCACTACGTACTGTGTGAAATATAATAATAATAGAAGAATACAATCTCGATATTATTATGGTTGTCCATCTGTAGTTTTCATTGTAACGTTAGACCACATCAGCTCTTGCAATAATTATGGGCAAAGATGAAATAGCCAACAAATACTTAAATATACGGTATAAATAGCGGAAAATATTGCTTTCAATCTGCCTCAGCTATAACTTAGATTATTAGACTCGTATAATTAATTTGTAAGTTATGTGTTATGAAGAATGAGACCTATGCTGGGTTTAGCTGTTATCTATCACTGGCATATTAGTTCCGCATACAGCGATTGCTCATTGTCTCTGAGCTCCAAAATTAAACATGTCATTCTATTTTTCCCCTAATGAGATTTTTTTAGCATTTATATGTACTTACATCGTTTATGCCAGTACCTGATCACAGCTTCTCCTGTGACGCGGAGTCGCGGACGCGCGCACACTTCCGGTTTGTACAGTCGATAAAGTGTCCGTTGGAAACAACAACAACTGAACCATAGAAATAAGATAGAAGAATGGCAATGGAACTATCAACCAGTTATAAAATGGGCGATGCTTTGAGGCTTTAAATTTAGTTTCGGATTGGTCTAAAAATAACACTTCTCTAATTGAACTCTTCACTGTTCAGTCAAACGCTCATGAAGTGCGTCACTGTTATTTCCATTATTAGCAGCACCAAGAGTGTTGTCACTTGATACCTGTTACTTTTCTCAGCGCTAGTCAGACTGGACCAGTAACAGAGCTGCGATTACAGACAACGTAGCCTACCTAAATAAATGACTTCATGCAGATTGCTGCGCGCTTATGATTTCATTTTATGTCATATATTAATCATTTGAAATAATAAACTTAAAAAATTATATGTTTTATGTGATATTGTTATTCACTGAGACAAAAAACGTCCTGAAATTTGAATGTGGTCAAATGACGGATTCGCTTTTTGGGCCTCTAAGCGCCCCTACAGGAAACACATTTTAGTGCCATGGTCAACAAACACAGTCATTTGATACAGCAGCGTTTGTCGACCGGTGCACAGGTACGCATTCTACGGAAGTCTGGTAATATACTGACACGTAGTTTAATTTAATGACCACATTTTGATCCTAATAACATTACAGGTATGAAATATGGAACGCAAGCTGGCTGAATTCAGAGCCCGAAAGAAAGCCCAGACTGGAGCTGAGAAACCTGCTGTTCGTGAGATCCAGACTGAAATGAAAGCAATCGATGATTCTCCGGCAGTGTCTCCTGACACAAACGAGTTCCTGAAGCCCGACACCTTCCATCAGAGTCCAACCAAACAGGTCTGATCGCAACTTACTGTGTTAAAAAACAACAACAAAAAAAAACATGCACATTAACACTAATGATAAATAACAACTATGGAAGCGTCAAGCGTGTTTCCGCCACGGAATAAAATAAAATAAAATAAAAAAAGGCAATGACGACCTTTTACCTTACAATTTTGAGTTATCTCACAGTTCTGACCTTAAAACTCTCAATTGCGAGTTGATTCTAGGGTCGAAGGGTCAGAAATGTGAAAAAGAAAATCGCAGTAAGTTAACGTTACAGTTTTATACGGGAGTTTGACTATTTCCTTGCTTTTTTCGTAAATATCTCACAATTCTGAGAATGAGTTAGAATTGTGGGTTCTAAACTGGAAGTTGCGAGAATTAAAGTCTGAATAGCATAAAAAATAATTGTGAGATAATAGTCAAAACTACTATTTTTAAATGTAACGTTTTTCATTTTTGTTGTACTGGTTGAAACTCTCTTCACATCCCAATCAATAATATACGTTGTCTAAATATTTTCTGATATATACAATCTTCTATGGAAGCCAGGACCAAAAAAAATGTTATCCAATCATCACATTTGGTATGAATGCAATATCAGCGTGTTTCGAAAGGTTATCCAGACAAACTGCTGCGTCCTTTTAAAGTTCCTCCTGAACCAAAACAAGCTGATCTGCGCTCACTCTGTCATAACTGTAATTACAAGATGGCAACCTGTGACGTTCTACCGTGACTGTTCACGTTCTCGGATTAATGCATTTCTATGTCAACGCTGTCATATACTGTTTGCAGACTCTGCTGTATCTGTTAATGTTTTAAAGGAGGCGTGGCTTTGGAGATGCTCTGAAGGGAGGGTGGGATTGTATGCTCTCAAAGCTGACTTTCTATTGCTAGCCTCTTATGAAATTGACTACTCTACCTTTAATGTCTTATTCCGAGGAGGATTCAAGTTTCCATATAAAACTGAAAACTGACCATGTCATTTTTGTCCAACTAAATGTAATATTTTTCTGTTATTTCAGGATCATTGTGATCTTCTGAATACTACATCCGGTTGTTGGCTTCAGCGTCTGGTTCTTACCCATCTGACCCTGTTTAAAGTGCTGCTGTGGCTTGTGCTGTTGGGGCTTTTTTCAGAACTTGAGTTCGGCCTGCCATTTTTTGTCATATCGTTATTCTACTGGCTCTATGAGGGCCTTCGAAGCCCAAAAGCCAGACAACCTGGAGAAATGAGCGCATACTCCGTGTTTAACCCTGATTGTCAACCCATTCTGGGGACTTTAACAGCTGAACAGCTAGAAGGAGAGATGGGATTCATGGTAATCAATTCTTGATGGCCAATACATGAACATGTTTAAAAGTCGTGCAAACTTTGCAGCCAACTGTCTGGACAAGGAAGATTGTCTAAATGTGGGCTTGGGAAACTTATTTGCATTATATTAATGTATCTCTTTAATGGTTTACTTGTATTTACCTAAATAAAATGCATTAATTCATTAATATGGATAAGATATCATATACAACCCCTTCTTACTGTTTAATTCAATCATACATCTAGAAAATGAGAACAGGTCACATATTTTGCACTCACCTATGTTCTGTTGTCCAAACTAATTTAATATCTGGACCTGAAATGTATTACTGAGTGATATAACTTTTTGATGAATGTACTGTATATAGAACTGCACTAGAATAAAATCTCTGAGATTCAGATGTATTTAGTGCTCTTTGACTTAAGTTCGGTATTTTATGAGAAAACACTATCAAGCCTACTGCTACTACAACCTACTACACTAAAATAACAATGAGGGCCGTACTGTACTCGCTTTTAGGAAGCATGGTTATGGTTTTACTTGAATGTATCATGTCTCAGGTCTCATTTTTTTTTTTTTTTTTTTGCAATATGATATATATATATATATATATATATGTGTGTGTGTGTGTGTGTGTAAGTGACACAAGCCAAATATTTCTGCTGCTGTGTCTGTGTTCACAAATAACTCTCTTTACTGAATAACTTTTGGTCAATTAGTTCTGTTAGTAGTTTTAGCTTTGTTATAGAAATTGGAATAGAGAATTGTGAATTTTCACTTGTATCTAAAATTTTGGTCATAATTGCCTATTTTTGCAAAAAAAAAAAAAATTGTTTCATAGAAAATGACTTGCTGCCGCCTACTGGCGGTTTTACTTTCATATTTAAAGTAAAACGTTAAAGTTATAAATAATTTCATATTTAAATATTGATTAAAAAACTTAATTATTTTAACTTATTATGACTTAAAAACTTTTAACTTAAAACTTATTTATGCAATTGTAAATGGAGTGTAAATATTAATGCCACTTCTGATGCTGCTTCTGTGTCACCTTCGCACTGCAAAGATGGATTTTGATTGAATGATTTAATTTGACTGCTAACAGTGGTACTGTATAATTATTGTAGAATTAAGTATTATTGTATAAATAAGTATAATTACTGTATAATTTAATTTGAATGTTAGTATTTGACCTAAAACGTGATGCATAACTCTAAATAAGTTTAAGAAAAAATGTCCATAGGTGAAAATGCCCCTGGGAATCAATTTAAGGTGGCAAATATTGCACATTAATTAATCATTTATGTCACTGCTGTGAACTGACCACTGCATAGAGAATATGAAAAAAATGAATATCTTCGTAAGTCTGCAGTCAACAACAGGCCTAGACCAGCCATGGTACCAGCACAAAAACACAATCAGTATATCATCTAATTATTATCAACAAAACGTTGAAAATATCGATATATTTTTGTCAATATTGCACACCCCTAATGTATGGTATTAATTTTAATTTCTTCAAGTTTTAAAAGGGTCTTAAAAAGATTTAAATTTGACTTTAAAAAGTGTGCAGGAAAAATTTGGGTGAACTATTGCTTTAAAAAGAAAGCAACACAACGGGCACTAAGACACTACAAGACGAGAACTACAAAACACTACGATGTACACGTCATGACGCCTTCCTTCAATGCTGTCAAAAGACTTTCTCTGGTGCTGTTGTGTCCGACAGGAATCTGTGTGAGCTGTGTGTGAACCGCTGATCCTGATCTCTGCACACGGACTGCAATTAAAGTAAGACCGCAGTTATAGAATAAGTCACCAAAATACACAAATATTGCTAAATAACAGTCTGCACCGCAGCTTTGTACGCGAGTAGCATCGCCCAGGAATGAATGCTGAATAAATATGGAGAACAAGTTCAGACGATTATTTAGCTGACATGATTTAAGAAGTAGACTTATATGTTTTATAAATGTCGTGAGTGGTAACAAGTAAGTTATGAGTGTGAGTTTTAGGCACTATTAATAATTTGGACAACAATGCCTTGTGTCTTTGCAGATTGTTCAGGAACTTTAGCAGGGATCTTCGTCCATTGCAGCAAAAAAAAAAAAATTCTGCCATTTTTCATAATTACTCATTAACCATCTACGCAGTTCGTGAGTATTGTTTTTAAGAAGCCTTTGCTCTGATTCTGATACGTCTGTCTATTCTCAAATTTCAATTTCCTCAAAATGTGTTTTTCTCTCTCACTTTGAATCACAACTTTTAAATAACGTTACAGTCATGATGTGCATTATACATATGGACAAACTTTGATGAACAAATTAACTGAACTTAGTTCAGCTTAGTTCAGAATCCCATAATGATCAGATAATCATCATGACGTTACAGCAAGACTTCCATTGTCTTCTGACTTTTCCCCTGGTTGTTTGCAGGAGGTGTGTCTTTTTGAACTGCAGCAATAAGGTGTGCTTCTGTTTCAGCTAGTGTCATGGCGAGCAGTCCTGCAGTGCTCATGCGGTTGGTGGCTTCAGCTTATGCCGTGGCGGAAAAGGCTGGAACCATTGTCCGCAAAGTGCTTCAAAGTGGAGAGCTCGGTATCGTTGAAAAGGTACAGCAAGTAATGGCATGTGACCAAGAAGTGTTGATCCAAATACATTTCCTATTTGAGATTACAAGTTTAGTTGAAGAATATTAGTTGAAGTATATTGGTAAAATTTTGAAGAATGTTGATAACCAGACACTGCAGCCAATGACTTGCATAGTAGGAAAAATGTACTATGGAAGTCAATGGCTACTGTCAACTGTCTGATTACCAACATTCTTCAAAATATATTATTTTGTTTTCAACAGAAGAAAGAAACTCATATCGGTTTGGAGCAAAAAAAAAAGGGGGGGCGAGTAGGCCTAAATGATGACAGAATTTAATTTTTTGGTTGAACTATCCCTTTAACCCCAAATCAGTAACACTAATTTTTTTTTAGATTTTTCAGATTTTTTTTATTTATTTTTTAACAAGGGTACTGATCCAGGAAAAGGGCTGCCCCTGACCAGAGATTTTGCTGTTCAACTAGTATTCATTAATTTAAGCTTTAAGTTGAACTTACAGTTTGATATGGTTAGCCATACTTGAGGTTGTTGAATGATAGGCGAACATTTGAATTTCCTGCCTGGCATAATTACCACATGGACCAGCCGTGTTAACGATCTGTCCGTCACTGACTGCGTAACCTCGCCGCTTCCTGTGGAGTTTGATTTTTCTATGACCCACTGACCAATTATAATTTCGTCAACTGAGCCTCTTCTCATCGGCTAAAGGCCCTGATATACTCGAGGTTCTTTATCATTCTTTGTTTAGGGGTAAAACCAAGTGAAATACCAATATCTGCGAGCAACAGTTAGATGAATATGTAAATTTGTGCTGCACGCTTTCCTCTCAATAACAAAATAAACACAACATAATTGAGAAAACCACAAGCATTTTAATAAAATGTTAGAAAAGCATCTGATCATGGCAACGTGGAAATGTTTGCACAAGCTCTGTAATTCGCGTTTATTTCACGTTTATGTATATAGCACTTTAGCTTTGAAGTGGAAACCGCAAACACCTACCTTGTACGTAATCGCCGTGGACCAATGGTTGGAAAGTTTTTCTGGAAAGTTTGCTTTGGCAAGCTGTTTCGAACTTCCAAAACAAACTCCAAACGGCCTGATTTTGTTCGAAATGATGTCACATCATTTCGTTTTTCGATTTCCCTTGAAGTATATCGATTCCCTAACATTTGGTGGACTATTAGGGGGGCAGCCCTAGAGCCGAGACTTGAGAAGAGAACGGTTGATGAACTAACTCTGGATTGTGACATTATTTGCTAGTTTTGACATATGCTTATGGGACATTTTTGTAACCATTGCTTTTGGCATAGACAGGAGCTGATGATCTACAGACACTGGCTGACAGGCTTGCTCAGAAGAGTATTTGTGCATCCCTGTCGAAAAGCTTCCCTAAAGTCACTATCATCGGGGAGGAGGTGTGTAGGTCTCGTAATATAAAGGTGCCCAGCCTGTTTTGGCTCCAAACAGCTGTCTAAACTGCTTTTATTTGTGTAGGAATTACCAGATGAGTCTGTTGAGGAAGACCTGATAGAGGACGGGCACAGCAGCCTAATCCTACAAAAATCCTGTCCTGATCAGTATGCCAGCCTGAAAGAGGAAGAGGTAAAGAGGAAGAGGAAACAATGTGGCCATAATACTTAAAACATATAATAATTGTATGTTACGGAGGCAAGCCAGTAAGAGCTGTGCACATAAACCTCACTCCCTTGGTCTCAAGAGCCGCCCTAGCGATCGACACTAGCGACTGCAGTCTATATAGCATCCTTGTTAGCGCCTCCCATGCCGGAAAGCTGATTCAAATGACACTTGGGTCTAGTAGGACTGGACTTTTCATTTCGAATCCCGCTCAGGGGTGCGTTTCCCTTACAACGACGTAACTCACTGCTTAATTACTGAAGTACGATGCATCGTTGAAGAAATCAACTAGCTAGTCACGACTGTGTTATAACTTCTTTTAATTCATCTTTTTGAGATCGAATTAATGCTAGATGTTTTGCTATACATTACGGACATGGTATTGTAGGAATATTTGAAATTTTTCTCAGTTATTTTGCTATATTTCCAGATTCAATCATAGGCTTGTTCTAACAAGTTGAGTAGAGTACTTCGCACAGATGCCCTCTTCAAAAACAACGCTTTAAATCTCTTGACATACTAAAAGACGTAAATGACATTTGTATGTATTCTAAATAAAAGATATAGATTGTCAGCTTGCTTATTTTGCTCAAGATACGGATTTATTGAGTCCACGCATCATGCAAACAAGAAACTCTGCTTCTAACCACAGGTCGAGAGCTGTCGTTCAGACCACACAATTTTGCGATGCTGTTTGCGATTTGTTCTTCGGAACTGTGTTTTCAGGAAACACGACTCGTTGAACTACGCTGATAACGACGGAACTTGCGACCGTAGTTCTCTAACAATGCTTTTGGGAAACGCACCCCTGAGCGGTTAAAGTAGGACTTGTTACATATAGAATATACCATTTTTAAAACTTATTCTGAAAGAGTTTTGAAAGAGTAGGAACATAAAAGTAACTCATATTGGTATTTGATTAAAGTTTCATCTTTATTTTTCAGCTCGTTGTGTGGGTGGACCCTCTTGATGGCACTAAAGAATATACAGAAGGTGAGCACTGCAGATAAACCACTTTCAGGATTACTCAACTCTACTCCATTTGAGTTTTAGTCTTTTTCAGCTGTGACTGCACCTGGTATTAACATCCGTTTGGGGTGAAGTGATCAAAACCAAACTACATTTTGTCATTGATTATACAAACCACATTTGCTGGTCGAATTTGTAGAAAGAAAGTGTCATAAATGTCTTGTTATTCTAAAATTCTCCTTCAACTCATTGTCTACGAAGTGGACTAGAACAACGTCCAATCAGTCCTCACATCATTGTTCCCGATTAAAACAAAATTCCATGTAAACGTGAGTGGAGATTGATGTTAATATCAAATGCCCTCGGCTGATTGTACCTACGCAAGAGAGAGTGCAGCCTACAGGTATGTGTGTTGGAGCAGGTTTAAACCAATCTCCAGTAGTTTTGCTCTGCTTGAGTTAGTCCCATCAAAATCCAGATCTACAGTAGATACCTGTACTAAACACCAGTTACCATTTGATTGGCTTTGATTTTTGTCCCTTCCCACAGAATTTCAGTTTCAGTGAGGACAGAAAAATGACTGGACATTCATGTCGCGCCTAGTTAGGGACCTAGTGTTGGAAGCATGCCCACTGCAACAGCACTATCCATCCGTTCTCTTCTCTCTCTGATTTTTTGTCTAACTCTACCTCCACTTGATCTCCATATGTCCAACACACCTGATGCTGTCACAGAGTGATCTGCTTTGTCTTTTCCCCCTCTCTCTTTTTCTGTCTTTGTTTTCCTGTCTCTGTTGTAGCTGCGAGGGTTTTGTACAACCCAGTTTACATACAGAAGCCAGTGCAGCCCCACAGAGACCCTAACCGTACGGTGATTTTAAGGTTTTTTTTTCTTTTTGAGGCATGACATGTCACCATGAAATTAGTCACGTAGGTTGCAGTCAATCAAAAACAGCTGTTAATTCAGGCAGTTACAATTTCTCGTAGTTGACCAGAAACTACAAATGCATTGCATGTGTGCTCGTTGTTGCTGATGAATTGCAACTGAATTTTTTTTTTTTTCATTTAAAGGACAAGTTCGGTATTTTACAATTAATGCCCTGTTTTAAGATCGTTTCTGATGAAATATAATGGTTAGGATTGTTTTTTAGACAAATGCTGCTGTCATGAGAATTTTCAGATTCTGTGGTAGCACCCCCACACCTCTACAATGGTAGCACAGGAACAATCCTTCATAAAACACATAAAACTTTAGTTTACAAAGACGTGAAACTCACCGAGTGGTTTGGGGTGTTACCTAATATGCTCACACAAAAATCTCTGCAAAAGATGCTTTCCAACAGGTTTTATCGTAACTCGACTTGTATTGTATGTTCTTTGATATACGGTATTACGCCGCCGCAGGAAACAGAAATTGGGTTGTTTGTATTCTTTCTGTAGTCGTATGCAGTCGCGGTATCGTAGGCTACACTATACAAGTGGTTTGCTTGCAATTGGCAAAGGTGCATTATCGCCACCAACTGGGCTGGAGTGTCCATTATTCAAGCTCTCAACGGAAGAAAGTACGGTTGTGAGGCGTTCGGAAAAATAGGTCTACAGTACAAAGAATGGTAAAACACCTGTTGGAAAGCATCTTTTGCAGCGATTTTTGTGTGAGCATATCAGTGAACAACCCAGACCACTCTGTGAGTTTCACGGCTTTGTAAACTAAAGTTTTATGAAGGATTGTTCCTGTGCACCTATGCAACCATTATAGAGGTGTGGGGGTGCTACCACAGAATCCAAAAATTCTCGGGACAGCAGCATCTGTCTAAAAAAAACAATCCTAACCATTCTATGTCATCAGAAACAATCTTAAAACGGTATTTCCAATTGTAAAATACCGAACTTGTCCTTTAAGTAATCTAGTGCACTGTTCTATGCATCTGTTCTATGCATTATAATCCAGTGAAATCTTTTCTATGCATCTAATTTTAGTGGAAGTTACCACCACTTATTGGAAAAGTACCTGGACCCGAAACCGCAGCATTACTGGCATGAGCACTAAAGACACCGATATACTCACAGCAACGTTCTTTTGTAGTTTTAATATGCAAATATGTGCTGCTCGCTTTCCTTTCAATAACAAAATAAACGCACAAAAAAAAAATGGAAGCAGTGAGAAAAAAATTTCTTTCATAAAGTAGCTCTCCAGTGTGTTTATGTTTTTACTCACGGATGTCTGACCTCAATGAACCCAAAAGAAGAAATGACCTGGAGTACATTTCCATGTCAAAGTAGGCGGAGCCTCAAAGCCACACCTACCTGTTGTGTAATCACTCTAATGTTTACCAGCCAGATGCGAACATTCCTGGAAAGGTTTCGCATGCTTTTGTTCAAATTTTTCCATAGTAAATTGGGGCGTTAATGCTCAAAATTGCTGCACCACAACTCCGTCTTACTCATACCCGTTATAAAAAGGAGGATATATACAAGAGCATAGAGGGGTTAATAAATGTTTTTGTGTCAGGCTTGTCTAAGTACTTTGCGTAATGTTTGTTTGGTGTTTCATTGCAGGGCTTTTGGATAATGTGACAGTGCTAATAGGGATTGCTTATAGAGGGACAGCCATTGCTGGAGTCATCAATCAGCCCTTCTACAACTACCAGGTCCAACCGGTTGGGTCGATACATTGCTTAGCTACATTTGGTAAAGGCTGGGATTGGTTAACTTGTTTTTTTGTGCTCTCTGTTCAATCAGATTGGGGCTGGTGCTTCTTTGGGCAGAACTTTATGGGGAGTTCTGGGTTTGGGCGCATTTGGGTTTCAACTCCAGGAAGTCCCAGATGGTAAAAGAATCATCACAACCACGCGGTCCCACAGCAATAAACATGTGGTCGACACAGTACAAGCCATGGAGCCTCATGAGGTCATCAGAGTGGGAGGAGCTGGGAATAAGGTGGGACACTAGCCTTGATTCGGCTGAGTTAATATTGGCATTGAAATTGAACTAATCACGTCTTCGTTCCGGGCCTGGTAGATCATCCAGCTAGTGGAGGGAAAGGCCTCCGCTTATGTGTTTGCCAGTCCAGGATGTAAAAAGTGGGACACGTGTGCGCCTGAGGCAATTCTGCATGCAGTTGGAGGTGATAGTCATTGTTTGCATGTTTTGCTTGATATTTAAGATAAATATAAAGTACATTTAAGCGTTTTTATGTTGTTTTCATATACAGGCAAACTGACAGACATCCATGGTAATGCATTCAGATATGATGCCAATGTGAAGCACATGAATTCTGCTGGAGTTCTGGCGACTCTCCGGGATCATCAGTACTATATCAGCAGAGTGCCACGGGCTGTCCTACAGGCTCTCCCCTCGGACTAAACCATTACACGAAATTAAGTCACAGTGTAAACTTGTGTGCCTCAAAGCTGTGATATGTCCTTGCCATTAATTGAACTGTTTAAGATTAATACGATTTAATGAGTACATTCATTTTCAACCACGTTTATAAGGGGGCCAAATACATTTATTTTAAAACATTTTATTATTTGTAGTAATATAATTTAAAACAAAATTACTGTAAACATATACATTTATATATACGTCATTTTGCATATATATATAATTATGGTCATAATGTTTACATTTTATTTTTTTAATTGGGGTGTAGTTCCATGTTTTGACATTTATCTGGCTGTCTAATTTGTTTTAGAGAATATGAATAAAAAATTCTGTCAAATTAACGTTTTGTCTTACAGCATTGTTGGTAGATACATTTAATTAACTTTATGTATATTAATACTTAAAACCAGAGTTTTCAGTACCAAGTTAGGTATTTAAAATTAGTTCTTCATTGTATTTAAAGTTGCATAAGGAAAGTCTGAACTACCCTGCTACTCTGAAATGCTGTGTGGATTTTTCTTGCATCTATTAAACTAAACATTATAAAAAGCACACAACAAAAGTGCACTTATAAAATGACAATGTTCCTTTAAGACAAACATGACAAGGAAATGTGTGCTAACACAAACTGAGTAGTAGGTACAACCTTAACACAAGGTTGTGTTGAAGTGAATACTGTACTAACAGTATTCTACATGTATACCCATTTGGGAATGATTATGCATGTTCACGTAGGTTGCAATTGGTTCAACCATATATATAAATGTTGCTTATCCATCTAGGGTAACTGAGTGAGAATATGTAGTTGTATCAGTTATATTAAGAAATGTAATATGTATGCCCAGTGCCTCTGCTTTCCATCTTTTGTCTATTATATTGTATTATGAATTGAAGCTGCTTCTCTATTTGCATTTTTTGGGGGGGCTAAACGTCTTGCAACATGCATTTAAAACCCAATGGGATTAAAAACAAGACCACAAGTTGAATGAGAAATCAACTTTATTTTAAATGATAGATATTGTATTAAAATCTCCAAAAATAAAAAGAAAGAAGTGGTAATCATATCTTTATTAATGCATAGTATGAAAAAAAGGCTTACCTGAGCTCCATGCTGTCCAGGGCATCTGTTCAGCAGTTACAAGACATTGAGACTTAAAGGCATAGTTCACTCAAAAAATCATTTACTTGCCCCTCATGTCGTTCCAAAACCACATGTAGAACACGTAAATGTCGAAGAATGTGCCGGCCATTTTCCCCACATGATGTAAATGAATGAAATTACAGCCAGTACCAAAAGAATAGAAACCGAGAAATCAAGATTGGTGCTATAAAATTGGACTTGGGCACTACATTCCAAGTCCTCAAAAGTCACACATCTTTGTGCAAGTAACATCCCATTTTAAGTCATGGTTTACTTATAATATGAATACCCTAAAGGGACATGGTGATGAAAAAAAAGAAAGAGAGAGAGAGAAAAACGTTTGTGCTCTTGTGAAACTGCGTGATCACTCACAAAAAAAGTGTGTGGTGTAATGTGAGGCTTGAGGAAAAAACAAAGTTGCTCGGGGGAACGTAATACTTCTGAAAGAGCTAAAACCATTGAAATATGTGTTTTCCTCCCATCTCATGTTTTTCCATCATGTCCAGGAATCCATTAGAATTGAAAAATAATTAGAGATGTCATAGATGTAGCATAGCATCTAAAAGTGTCATGTTTAAAATGGATAGATGCAGACAGTGGAGAACAAGATTGACATACAATAATTATCACTGTTCCTTGTATCATAAGACTTGAAATGTGCAGCACTAGTCATTTTATGGCTTGCTATGAGTTATTTAATTATTCCACATTCTCTTTTATTATGAGAAGATGGGCCAGCACATTACTCCAAATTTCTCTTTTAGTGTTTCACATTAGGAAGGAAGTCACTTGGGACGGCTTGGAACGATATGAGAATAAGTAAACGATGTAAAAAGATCTATATTTTTAAATTTGTGTGATTAATCCCTTTAAAGTAGTGCAACGTCAGGATACTGCACAACCTCCTTAAAAACCAGGCTGCTGTCGTCATGTTAATCACCCTTCAAATAAGAAAAGAAACAGATACAAATCATTATAGTCTATGTATTGAATAACTCAGCAAAAAGTGTTCTTTTCCATTGGCTCTCCTGGGTACAAAAGGTGTGGAAGAGGAATGAAATGGTGTTCGTTCAATTGGCCTTGTGCATATTGTGCAACACAATATGACACCTAACAGTATGCATATGACCTACGGCCTTAGCGTGGCAAATTAAGTTACCCATGTGTGTATGAAATGGGTCACAGGTGTTTAGTGCAGGGGTTCTCAGTAAAGTTCCACTTTCTAAGTTTTGCAAAGTTTTGCTCCAACTGTGATCAAACTCACCTGAACAGGCTAATCAAGATCTTCAGAATCTAGAGAGTTACAGGCAGGTGAGTGTGATCGCTGGGGCTAAACGTATATTCAAGTGAAACAGATTCTCGATGGTTTGCTATAGGTTGATGTCATGTGAGTGGCAGGTTGCCCCGCCCTCACACCAGTAAACGCATTATCAGAGAAGAGACGTCGCTGCAAATGGGAAGGAAAGTTATTTGAATAATTATAGATTATGCACATAAATAAAATAAAAAAACGTGCAAGCACGGATAAATTATTTATTATAAATACTACAATCTAGCCTGATGCCAGCCCGAACCCCGCCCACAACATTTTTTGGTCGGGAAGTTCGGTCTGGACTCGATCCATTGAAGAGAAATTATGATCAGTCAAAAAATGAACGGGCCAATCAAATTGCCAAGGCGGGCTTTAAACGATGATGGAAGAACAACACTATAACTGGTTTCCCTCAGAGATGACTGGAGCTGGAGAATTGAGATGTATAGATTCTGCTGTCGCGTTTGTTGTAAAATAAATCGACAGCACATTCATTTTAATAGTCGAACAGAAAACTGCAATCAAGGCATTTGTCGATCGGAAAGATATTTTTGCCGTCCTTTCCTACATGATTCGGGAAACGTGTAACTTATTAGCTGGCTCTGATGGTCGCTAAGAAGATGGAACGTAATTAAAAAGCCTGTGGTCGTTGTGGTTTCTCCTTTGGTCGCACTCATGAAGGACCAAGTAAGAAGCAACACTCGTTATTTTACTTCTAAAATAAGTAAGTTAGTTAAACACTGCGCTATGCAAAGTAGTTGACTTACTGAGTTGCTCTGATTGGTTGTAGGTCTACCGACTATCCAATTGAGTGCGGAGTTAGTTTTTGTTCCTGGTTCGGTTAAGACACGGCTCATAATCAAAGCCCTATGGAGCAGTATCAGACTCATATCCTCACTAGAATATGAGTATGATGAAGTCAGGCTAACTACAATCTTTATAAATGTATACAATTTCTGAAGATTTTACACCTAAAGGATTATAGGAACACCTGTTCAATTTCTCATTAATGCAATGATCTAATCAACCAATCACATGGCAGTTACTTCAATGCATTTAGGGGTGTGGTCCTAGTCAAGACAATCTCCTGAACTCCAAACTGAATGTCAGAATGGGAAAGAAAGGTGATTTTGAGCGTGGCATGGTTGTTGGTGCCAGACGGGCCGGTCTGAGTATTTCACAATCTGCTCAGTTACTGGGATTTTCACACACAACCATTTCTAGGGTTTACAAAGAATGATGTGAAAAGGGAAAAACATCCAGTATGCGGCAGTCCTGTGGGCGAAAATGCCTTGTTGATGCTAGAGGTCAGAGGAGAATGGGCAACTTTGACTGAAATAACCACTCGTTACAACCGAGGTATCCAGCAAAGCATTTGTGAAGCCACAACACACACAACCTTGAGGCGGATGGGCTACAACAGCAGAAGACCCCACCGGGTACCAATCATCTCCACTACAAATAGGAAAAAGAGGCTACTATTTGCAAGAGCTCACCAAAATTGGACAGTTGAAGACTGGAAAAATGTTGCCTTGTCTGCAGAGTCTCTGATGACATTCAGATGGTAGATTCAGAATTTGGCGTAAACAGAATGAGAACATGGATCCATCATGTCTTGTTACCACTGTGCAGGCTGGCGGTGGTGGTGTAATGGTGTGGGGGATGTCTTCTAGCCACACTTTTGGCCCCTTAGTGCCCATTAGGCATTGTTTAAATGCCACGGCCTACCTGAGCATTGTTTCTGACCATCCCTTTATGGCCACCATGTACCCATCCTCTGATGGCTACTTCCAGCAGGATAATGCACCATGTCACAAAGCTTGAATCATTTCAAATTGTTTTCTTGAACATGACAATGAGTTCAATGTACTAAAATGGCCCCCACAGTCACCAGATCTCAACACAATAGAGCATCTTTGGGATGTGGTGGAACGGGAGCTTCGTGCCCTGGATGTGCATCCCACAAATCTCCATCAACTGCAAGATGCAATCCTATCAATATGGACCAACATTTCTAAAGAATGCTTTCAGCACATTGTTGAATCAATGCCAAGTAAGATTTATAGCGGGTTCTGAAGGTGAAAGGGGGTCAAACACAGTATTAGTGTGGTGTTCCTAATAATCCTTTAGGTGAGTGTTGTGCCAATATATAAAAAATATATTAAAAAAAAAAAACCTGAAATATATGTTAGTAATATTAATTGTGCTCAAAATATGCAAGTTTCTTATCACAAACCTAAAGTCTGAAAATACAGCTAGATATATATTTTAAACTTGGAGATTTTTTTCTCCATAGGATAAAATGAAAATGCACAGCAAATTTAAACGAGAAACCATTGAAAATAGTGATGATTTGAAATCTTGTACAAATCTTTTTTTTCAGAATTAGTTTTTTCTTTACACATTTTGGAACTGACAAAGGTAAGAACAATGTAAGAACACAGCAACAGTAATCTGAATCGGTGTAGAATAGTGAATAATGTGAATAAACTAACACAATTTATTGCTATAGGACAAAAAGTAACTCGTATATTTTGTTGCTCTTTTTGAAACAAAAGAATGAAAGGATTAATGTTTTGTGTAATACCTTTTTAATATGCAGCCTCCGCTGATACAATAAAAAATGTGTATATACTTTTCCAAACAAACAGAAAATGTGCATGCAACTAATCTATGAACCACTTGCATACAGTATTGGGGAAACCACTATGAAATTGTAGCATGAAGTTAATTGAAATCACTTAAACTGCAGAAAAATTACTGTTTTTTTTTTTTCATTATTATAATAATATTAGACTATCAGGCACAGAAACAATATTAGTTAGGGTCACAGCATCAGAGTAAATATTTATTAACACATTTGCATGTAATAAAATAAGGCCTGATTAATAGCATTGTGCTAAACAGCAGTTTTTGACCATTTATTTCACTACCTTTTGGAAAGCTTGTTACAAAAGCTTTACACAGCTGAGCTACTGAACACTGAAAAATGTACTTAAGTTAATAGCTACTTTAAGTTAGTTATTCCCCCAACACTGCTGGTATATGGAACATTCACTCACACACACACACACACGCACACACACACACACACATATATATATATGGAGCAAAACATTACCACAAAAAAACATAACAGCCTTACATGGCTTGATGGCTGGATGTCCAGGACAAATGAAAGCTGCAGTCCAATTGTCCTCTGTAATCCTTCCATCTGTGAAGACATTTTACGCAGTTTGTTGTACAAACGGGAATGTGGGAACCTGTATTTAAACTCAGGTCTGTAATACCAGGAGAGTCATCCATCAAGTCATTTCCATTTATCTCAAACAGGAGCTGTGCAGGACCCAGGCAAGTATGTGATGAAAGAAATAAATATTTGGCCATGGTCAGTTTTTCACTTCTATCACTGAGGTAACAAATCAATCTGAAGCTGCAGGAAGATGACATCATGACAAAGCTGACTTGCTGAAGAACAAGCAATCCCAAGACATTCACTAGAACCTATCCTGAGATGGAACATCAAAAGGCCCTTCAGTCAATAAATGGGAAAGCAAAGTAACTTAAAGTAACTCAGACATTTTGTTGTAAATCTAAAATGTGTTACTTTACAAGTTATTTCAGGGGGAAAAGTAATCTGATTACATAACTTGCATTACTTGTAATGCCCAACACTGTTTACTGTGGTCACAATATTGGGCAATCCAATTTCCCCATTCATCATCTGTGTCCCAATACTGAGAGGCTACACCTTTGAAGGCTACACCTCTTAAGTTTGCGAAGGTCCTGGTCCTGGAGTACCACCAAGAGTACACATTTGGGATGTATTTCTAATTATCTCTAACTGTCTTTCTAAATTACTTTATTTTTCTATGGTTAGATACTTGAGTCAGTTAAAAACCAAAGTTAAGTTTTATCTGGCATTTTCTCAAAAATAAAAAAATTATATTCGCTGTATCCATATACAAAGAAATTTGATGCCTACGCTACGCTACGGTTGATGCCTACGCTAGCTGAGCAGAAATACATAACCATGTTTGGCTTGGTCCCCTCAGGTTACGTTGGATTTTCTCTTTAGCGTAAAGGCCCAACTATCACTGTTTTTTATGTTCGTAGAGTTAGTTTGTGGAGTAAATATATAGGCTATAATCTGTGTGTTTACACAGTTTTTTTTTTTTTTTTTTTTTTTTAAATGGGGTGCTGGTGTTTCATATGCGTTCAGCTAATCAGCGTCAGTAACATCACTGGTAGTTCCTATAGTGCTGGGTTAGACCCTAATCTGAAGTAGGAGATAATTTAGTTCCTCCAAAAGGAGTTCCTAGAACTGAAACATTTCCTACTTCCTGCGATGCGAACAAGCCAAAAACCAGGTACATCCACCAATAGTCCTAAAAACTATGAAAAGGTTCCTTCAGTGCGAAAGCCGATATTAGTGCCAAATTCGTATAATCGTATTTGTTCATTTTCAAACAATCTGCTTCCGCTTCATTCGTGGTTAGGTTTATGGGTGGACTTTCATGACTTTTTCCTAAAAATCGAGATTGGGTTGGCCTGTCTGACCCTGTCATATGATGTGGCCGTCTCTCTGACCTACAGAGTGAGTGTTATCAGCCCCAATGACTCAATTCT